AGGAAGGGGGGGGGATACGCGAAAGAATGAGCTTTTTCTCGGCGCCATCTTTTGAAGAAATGCGTCGGCAGGGATTGGTAGTGGCCAACGTGGCGTTGTTGAGCCCACGTGGTGTTGTTGGCCCCACGTGGTGCTTTTGGGCCCACGTGGTGTTGGTGAGCCCGCATGGCCGACTTGATGTTCAGCAGGGCCGCAGCTGTTGGGCGCAGAGGGGATGATTTGGAGGCGGGAGTGGGGAAAGGGAACAGGAAGGGGCGAGGGGAGCGGGGAGAGGGGAAAGGGTGAGCTTTCCACGCTTGCTTGAAACGGTAAGTTCGCGCGGCGTGCCTTAACGGTGGCTTGGACAGGGAGAGTACTTCTAATATAGGTGAACGGTGGAGGGAACTTGAGTAGGAAATGCAGCAATTGGCGCCTCTATAAGCACTCGCCAGGGAGGGTCCAGAGCAGTGGAAAAGAGTCTTTTCACCCTCTAAGCAGTGCAGGCTAATTTGCCAAATACTCATACCTTGCAAGCGTGTCTTTCAAAGATCGGTGGGAGGTGTGGTGTTGGAAGGACCAGGTCGAAATGTGGACGACATAGGCGAAAAAATTCTGGATAGCTGGCGGAATTGAACATGATGTTACCCCTCATAATCATGTTGGTAGTACCGTACTGGGGCGAGATGGGTCACTGAGATTAAGGTTTTCACCTTGATCGGCCTGCATGACGACGCTAGCGACTCTGTTAAGGTGGCAGGACAGCACTGCGAGAACGACCAACATTGCGACGAGGCACACATGCCGCTTCGGGGTCGCCATGGCGACCATCATGCGCGCCGCTCTTCCCCGGGAAGCCAGTGGACTACTTCTGATGAGTGGACAACTACTGATGAGTCTGGTGAATCCTAGACCGCTGCACTAACCAGGACTTCGGTTCAACGGAAGGAAAAGGTCTCGAGAAGTGCACGTAACCACAAAAATGGGCGAGATATAGTTCCACCAGGTTACAGCACCGCCGCTTTTGCTGCTTGTTCGGTGGTATAGTCGCAGCAATTGACAGAGCCTTCGGGATAACGACGACGTGGTCTCGGAGGACGCCATGGTGGCTGAGGGACTACGCGGCGAATAGGTGATGCCTTCACCGTCCAATGCCTTGACAGGGATTTTTACCTCTTGCTGCCCGGTGACCGTGAGGAACGAAAAATAGGCGATGCCTTCATTCTAGTCAGAATGTTGACATCTTGACATAGCAGGGGACGTGAGGAACGAAAATTAGTCGTACTGTATAACGTCGGTGACCAACAACGTTCTTCGTACTGTGCAGTCTCCAACATTTCATGCGGTACAGTAACAACCAATTTTTTAGGCTCTGCCGGTTACTGTACCTCCTGGCAAGAGACCAAATGCAAGAACTGAAGACAGGCCACTTGGCAAGCTTTCTCGAATGTCTCGAAACGTGAGGACACTACTGTACACAGTTTCGTCGGAGATGGACATCCTGTGGGATCTGGGTCGATAGAAACAAAGACGTATATCAAGCTGCATCAACAACCAGCAGCTCCGACAGTCCAATCCCGCCCAAGGTTGTTATCACGCTGATTCCAAATTTAATACCAGAGTCACAAGTTTGCGTTCGGGTCTGATCGGCTCCGATCTGATCTGCTCGGAAAGCTTGTGATCACTTTGCTCGAGCCGCCCGATCAGCAAGGTTTTTCGTCGAAGGTTTGAAGCTACTACTCGACAAACGCAGGAACAATATGTAGAAATTCTTATCCAGCTCACGCGAGATTGGCGACAGATTGTCACCTGGCGGACGAATTGTTTCCCTGTAATATTGTCGATCCCTGGAGGGTTCTCGCGATGTACCATGCATAAGCGAGAGGTTCACGAGTTTGCATTCAACAGTGTAACATTTCGTAACCATCGTTATGGCTTCGATCACATGCAATCAACTGATCGAGGGTGATTGAGCAAAATCGAGTGTTTGGGTAAAAAAATCGGGAGTGATTGAGTTGGGGCGATCAGCTAGCTGATCGCAATCAGCTGATTGCCCCCGATTGCCTCCAGGCTTCCTCGAAGTTGTTAGTCGCTTCTGATCGAGGCGATCAAACTTGTTTGGGCCCACGTCCTTATGCTGCGTACCGCGTCAATTTTGCGGATCACAAGCTGGTTCAACATTGTCTGGTAATTTGCGACAGATGTTGATGCGGTCCCCACTCACCGCTCCCAGACTGAGCTGTACACACCCTCTTCACGGAGAGCCAATTCGGTTTCTATGGTACGTGTACAGCACATACGGTACAAAACCGTGTACGACATCAGCCCCTCATACACACTCACATCCCTAGTAATCGGAGGATTACTCAGGCTCAAAGCCACACACGCAACCGATTTCCGGGGCGTTTCACCAGCCTACTCTTTGAATAAAGTTTTATTTTCCATCACACCCCGTAAAGAACGAGCGGCAAGATTGTGACTCGGCGCACTTCAGGGATCGATTTAAAAAAATTCCTGCTGCGGCCGGATGCGTGAATCCAGCTTGGCTGTTCAGGAGTTTAATAGCCAAGCGCTCGTCGCATTCTCACATCACAAGTACCAAAAAGGCGACCTTTCTGACTTGAAAATGCTGAAGTCCTTGTGTGCAAATCACGAAGATTGGATTAGTATGAAATTTGGCTAAGTCCTACTGGAAGTCGAAAGTGGATCGGCATTAAATTTGACAGCCTGCACGAGATGCGACTGCACACACAGGTGTCTACAAGAAAATGTATGCCAATCCATGCACTGTCCAAAATTTGAGTACAATCGAATATATCGGGTCTCTCCCAAAAGTTTTAGCGCGCCACTCGGCACAGCCAAGGGGCACGCAGATTTCACTCTTGTTTGGAAAAGTGCCTTGAAACGAAAAAAAAAAAAAAAAAAAAAAAAAAAAAAAAAAAGGCCCTCGCCACACAACGCCGTGACTGAAAAGCCATTTCCGTTCTTCATGCATTTTGTTCAAACGGTGTACAGAATCCACCGACGCTGCAACCTTCAGTTCCTACCAATCACATTGGGTTCTCATCTGGACCACGCGGCACACGACACGATGAGAGCTGTACACCCTGTTTCTCGATTTTTGAACAATCGGGAGCCGTGTGCGCACGTGTGCTTGGATTCAGCGGGCTGGTGCTTGCAACCGAAATGCACTTCAGGAGAACGGTACACAACGGTTTATAAAAAACAAAAGTGCTTTTGAGTTCGGTTTCGTGCGGCAAAAGTGCTTATACGGTATGTTCTGGTACCAATTTGGACGCATTGATGTCAGTACAGCTGGCTTGTCGATATGGCGATTGTCAGTGTGGCGCAAGCAGGGTGTAATCTGCTGGGCACGAAGCCTGGTTGGCACGAAACCAGTGGTTTGGTACTGTACGGGAATGAAAACAAGGTTTGGTACTGTACCAAACCAGTGGTTTGGTACTGTACTGTAACGCCCAGAAGGTTTGGAACAGAAAGCACTCAGGGCACGCTGCACACCTCTATTTATTAATTCGATAATTCTTTGGAGCGGGTTTTGGGCGAACTTGCTTGCGTTTCAGTGTTTTCGAACTTGAACATGCAAAAACACAGAATATCGGCACTCTTTGTCAGGTGCATCAAGACTGGTTTTTTGGGGAACCCGAACTCCTACCAACCGTGCGACCGAAATGAGGTCGCACGTACACTGTAGACGTCGCATAGCCAATCATATCGTTTCGTCTACGCATCGTAACTACCGTCGCTAGTGTTTCGTTTTTTGTTTTTCGCAACTGGAGTTCACCTTTTGGGGTGGTGCACTTCCCTGTCAAGTTCGAGCATTTGACGGGGAATTCCGCAGTATCGTTTGCCCGCGTTTGGGGCGCTATGGCGTTCAAGTTTGCATGCAAAACACGAGCGTGGTGCACTTCTCGAGCAGTAACACTGTTCAGTCAAGACAAAATTCAGTTGAGAAAACGCCAAACGCACAGTAACCCGAACTTCGCCAAAATTTCGGATTTTGATCGATCTTCTTCAGCATTTTCGAATTAAAAAATAGAAGTGCAGCGCGCCCTCGGGTGAGTGGTTTCGTTTGGCATGCCATTGGCTCGACCTGGGTCGGTGGACTCAGGCTCTGGTGGAGAGGAGATTCGAGATCCACCCATCCCAGCATGCGATACGCTTGGAGTCATCTGCAAAATGTCAACACAGCAAACAAAAAGAACATACACCTAACCACCGCTATTTTCAACTCCGAACCCTTGCATTGTTCCCGCGTTTCGAAGTTACCCTGCACGCATTCGACTATTTCAGTTGGGGGCACTTTTGCTGTTGCGAATTCCCTTGTGCCACTTCTACTCTTTTCGGGGGTCTGGAACCAACTCGCTGTGAAATCAGTATGAAATTTATGACGCTCACACAACCGTCGGTCAAAGATTCTAGAAAGGGTGCATAACTACTTGCGCAAGTGGGGTTGAAAATAGACGGAAAGAAAATAACGGTGGTTAGGTGTATAACGTTTCAATATGGCATACCCAAAAACTAAACCCTAAACAAACAGAGCAAAAGCAGGTTGTTTCTCCAGAAAGTTTGGCCTATAGAAGCAGACAGGCAAAGGGTAGGCATCTCTCCTGCCCCTCCGGTACAACCCCCCCCCCCCCCCCCCTGGTCCAGCCCCGTGAGGTGTGTCACACGCCACCCCTCCCCCCTCGGTAGCCCCTCAAATGCCGTCCCCTTCCCCACAGTCCTCCTCATAGCCTACTGCAGACCTTGCGGGAGCAGGTGCTCGTGTTGAGGACCCTGGGGGTGCTACATCTGGAGGGGTTGGAGGTGGAGCTGACAGTGTGCCTCCACAAGGTTCTGGTGCCGGAGGAGCTGGTGTTTGTCGCGCTGTCCCTGAGGGGTGCTACGACTGGGGGTGCGGGTGCGCCCCCTACGGGACTTGGAGAGTCTGGGACTGGCCGTGTTGTTGCAGGTGGTGCTGGCTCTAGGGGTGGTGCGACTGGTTCATTGGAGAGCGGTCCTGGGGCTACCACTGCTCCGGACACTACTCCTCCCCCCCACCCCTACCCGACCCGGCACCAGGCCCGTCTTCACCGTGCCCGTGAGGAGCAGCTCGAGTTGGAGCGAGAGGAGAGAGATTTGGAGCGGCAGCAGCTGGAGCTATAGCGGCTGGAGGAGCACTAGCAGCAGTAGCCAAAGCAAGAGCAGCAGCAGCAGCAGCCGGAGCAGGAGCAGCCGCAGCAGCAGGAGCAACAGCAGCCGCCACAGCTAGAGGAGCAGCGGTCGCAGCCGCAGCAGCAGCAGCCGCCGCCACCTCCTCCTCCCGTCTCTGATCTTCGGACCCTTGCTCTCCCCTCTCCTTCTCCTCCCTCATTCTCCTCTCCTCCTGTCTCTGGTCCTCCGCTTCCTCCTCCTGACCCCTCCCCAGCTGTTTTCTCTCCTTCTCTGCCTCCGTTGTCCCCTCCTCTTCCTCACACTTGGTCCTCGCGTTGCTTTTCTCGTGCTCATCCCTCGTCCCCTGTTCCCTTCTCTGACCTTCGTACAACCCTATTTTGTTCTAGTCGACTTGTTCGTCTCCTTCTGTACTTCCTTCTCCTCCTGAGTCGGCTCTCACTGCTTCCCTCTCTATGAGTGACTCTTCTTCTTCAGCTCAGTGACTTCTGGTTCTTCTGCTGCTTCTGCTTCCTCTGTTGCAGGTCCTTCGGCGACGTTTCCACATCCAATTTCAGTTGCGGCAGCGTCTCCCAGCGCGGTGTTTTCTATAATCCAACGCATGTCCACTGCGTCCCATCCCTTGGTGGTGTTCCAACCGGTAGGTTGTTGAACGGGGGGCC